ACAATAGCTTGCAAATTCGCGTTCAAACAGTAAAACAGAAAAATCTTATTTTTACTGTGACGACAAGAAATCGTACCTTTTTTTGAAAAATTATAACTTTTTATGCTATTGATCTAGCATTTTACAAGCTATTATAATATAGTTAGTTGGAACATATACTCAAATTTTACGACAATAGCTTGAAAATTCTGATTTAAACAGTTTGCAAGCTATTGTCATAAAATTTGAATATGTATTCCAACTAACTGTTTTATAATAGCTGGTAAAATTCTAGATCAATAGCATAAATAGTTTTCATTTTTCAACAAGAGGTACAATTTCTTGTCGTCACAGTAAATATGAGATTTTTCTGTTTCACTGTTTGAACCAGAATTTGCAGGCTATTGTCATAAAATTTGAATATGTATTCCAACTAACTGTTTTATAATAGGTGGTAAAATTCTAGATCAATAGCATAAATAGTTTTCATTTTTCAACAAGCGGTACAATTTCTTGTCGTCACAGTAAATATGAGATTTTTCTGTTTCACTGTTTAAACCAGAATTTGCAAGCTATTGTAATAAAATTTGAATGTGTATTCCAACTCACTGTTTTATAATAGCTGGTAAAATTCTAGATCAATAGCATAAATAGTTTTCATTTTTCAACAAGAGGTACAATTTCTTGTCGTCACAGTAAAAAATGAGATTTTTCTGTTTTACTGTTTGAACCAGAATTTGCAAGCTATTGTCATAAAATTTGAATGTGTATTCCAACTCACTGTTTTATAATAGCTGGTAAAATTCTAGATCAATAGCATAAATAGTTTTCATTTTTCAACAAGAGGTACAATTTCTTGTCGTCACAGTAAATTTGAGATTTTTCTGTTTCACTGTTTGAACCAGAATTTTCAAGCTCTTGTCATAAAATTTGAATATGTATTCCAACTAACTGTTTTATAATAGCTGGTAAAATTCTAGATCAATAGCATAAATAGTTTTCATTTTTCAACAAGAGGTATAATTTCTTGTCGTCACAGTAAAAAATGAGATTTTTCTGTTTTACTGTTTGAACCAGAATTTGCAAGCTATTGTCATAAAATTTGAATATGTATTCCAACTAACTGTTTTATAATAGCTGGTAAAATTCTAGATCAATAGCATAAATAGTTTTCATTTTTCAACATGAGGTACAATTTCTTGTCGTCACAGTAAATATGAGATTTTTCTGTTTCACTGTTTAAACCAGAATTTGCAAGCTATTGTCATAAAATTTGAATATGTATTCCAACTCACTGTTTTATAATAGCTTGTGAAATTCTATATCAATAGCATAAATATTTTTTATTTTTCATCAAGAGGCACAATTTCTTGACCTTAAAGTAAAAAATGAAATTTTACTTTTTCAAAGTAAAGGTCTTATTTTTCTGAATTTGAAATGTACATTAAAAACTTCGTCTTCCACGGAGAAAGTCGTCGCCGGGTTGATATTCATACTTGGTGCACCTAGTCGGCCAGCCGGGTGCACGAAGTAGCTAAAACAGTTCGACTTCCTCGGAGAAAGTCGTCGCCTGGTCGATATTCATACTTGGTGCACCTAGTCGGCCACCCGGGTGCACGAAGTAGCTAAAACAGTTCGACTTCCTCGGAGAAAGTCGTCGCCGGGTCGGTATTCATACCAAGAGCTTCGAGTGGGTATACCGGAAATAATCGATCGATCGATAATATTCCACAAGAAATAAAACCTCATGTTTATGTGTGTGTATTCGAGGATCGAGGTGTGTATATACATCATATACATCGACGGCGTAATAACATTGTATAAGCGCATGACGTGAACACAGCAAATGGTCTGAAACTTATTTTGGGTTGACCACTTTTTGGTAAGAACGTTTTTTGCGAAGTGGATTTTTCTTTCAATCGCTCGTATTTCGTTGAAAATAAACTTTTTTCGATATGTTATATACATCGTTGGATAAAAAATTATATAATAACCTATAGTTTTTGTCGTTCTAAAGGTAATAGATTCCTTGAATTTTCGACTTTTTCTTGATTGACGATGGCATCCGCTTGCTCGAAATCATGCTTGTCGGATTCTTTATTTTTAATTTGAATAATTTTGCTGGAGTCTTGTTCCGAGATGAACGTCATTTTTACTTACTCACGCACAGTTCACACAATTGTTTATAATTTGAAATATTTTGTATTAATTATACTTTTTTTACTAACACTTTTAAATCTTGCTGTGTATGCACTATGCTTGCGCGGCGACGTATTAAAACGTGTACAAACGAATTGACTAGAACGAGCATACATTTAGAGAAAGGAAAAGAAAAGAAAAAAAAGTAAAAGTTAAGCTGCAGTTGCGCAGCTGCGAGAGGACGGAAAAGCCAGAAACTCGAATTGCTCTTCGATACTTGATGATTCGAATTTCGAAATGAAATGCTATTGCGCGCATTAAGGTGGCTATTCAATAATCATAGCAATAGTGCAGCGAGGCGTATGTCTGTCTCTTTCTCGCATTAGGCAGGCAACCGCTCGCACTATTCGAAATCAATGATTTTACGCACATTTTTGTTTAATTACTCATTGGTTAGTTCGATAAGGGGTAATTTTTAACATACCAATCGAAAGGTATAGTGACTTGAAGCATAACATATTCGTTTTTGGTTAAGATCTGTCGTCGAATAAAAAAGTTATGGCGTAAAATGTATGAAATTATGGTGTACTCCCATAATAGCCCATGTTAAATTTGCTATTTTCAACGGCTTCGTTCTTAAAAATTAGTTCGATAACCCAGGCTGAAATTTCTACAGCATATCAAAGGCACTTTAAATGACATTTCTGCAAAGTTTCATAAACATCTGTTGTCGACCCGTTTTACTGACTAGCCACCTTAAGTTGGTTCAGACGAATTTTTCAATGTTTTTCTTTGAAAAAAGTCAATAAAGCTATTTGATTTCGCGGGAAAAATCATAGCAAATTAAGGTCAAAGATGTTTCTTGTTTTTTTTTTTATTATTTATTTGCTCACTACCTGAAAAGCGCATTTTTGGATATTATTTCTTTGAAAAATGAAAATCCAAAATTTTTCAGCCAATGAACTCTTCATGAGAACATAATTTGTTTGAATTTGAATTTGTTTTAACATTGAACATTTTTGTATATTTCGTACATGATTTTACATTTTAGAAGATCTAAACAACTATAAAAACGTGTTTTCTGACGCAAAGTTAAATAAACTTTTTGAAAATTATTAATAATAATATTAATAATAGATAATTATTTTGAAAAATCAACAATTTAATATAAATAACGTGACTTTTTTGTTCTTCATTACTACTTTTTGCTAGGAAGATTAATTTTATCGTCGCATTTCATACACTTTTAATAACGCATCGTATCATTAACGAAATTGAAAAATAGAATCGCGATTTCAAACTCAAGTTTACTAAAGTGTCCTTTAATTTCTACAAATTCCCAAAAAATTTTGAAAACATCATCAATCGCCACATGGAATTGGTTTTAGTATGGTTACTCGGGCGACTGTGATATATTAAGTTTCAATCAAGCGCCTGCCAAGTATTAATTGTTTTAACATTGATAACGATTTTGCTGTCGGCTTGTTGCAACCCTCAAAGTACCTTTGAAGATCAACTGCATAAAACGTACGGCCACGAGGAACGAACTTGTCGTTTTCGCTTTAACTAGTTCCAAACCGTGTCTATAGATGGCGTACTTGTTCTCTCTCTGTTCGACTAAACTACTTTCATGCAGCTGACATGCAGCCGAATATGATACACGTATATGATAGACGGGATTAATATCGAGCGTCGCCTCGAGTCGTACAGTTCGGCTACATAACTTTTGAAATTAAGAAAACTACAATCAAAATTTGGCAAAGGATAATCATTGTTCGGTAACTAGACATCCAAATTTACTGTAATGCAACATTCTTTTTTGCATTTGCGGGTTTTTTTACCAAACGTTTAAAATCGAAAACGATCTTTTCACGCGCGACGACAAAGTGTTTTCTGATCCAAAGTGTTGGACCTTTATTACGTCTTGTTTTGATTGATTCAAAATATTCATTATTTAATCATCACTGATAAAAGATAGATTCGAGAGAATATTGATTCAATTGAAAAACTTAATCTTTTTTATTTTTTCCAACAGTCGACGAGAAAATTGGAAAAATAACAAGAACCAAGATGCCTAGCCACCTCGTGATACCGAAGGCAGAACCGGATCTTGAGCTAAAAACTATCAGAAAACGCAAGGATCAACAGCAGCATCATAACCTTTTTTCCAATGGACCGGAAATCCCCGGGGTTCCTTGTGGAAGGGAACTTCTGGCATCCATCGATTTGATTCGACAACGTAAGGCTAGACCAAATCAAAGTAATCTGATCAACTATATGTTGAAGAATTACAAAATCGACCGTGAGGAAACCTTGATAACAATCAAAAAAATGATTGAGCTCGAACATGTAGTTGAGGTAATCTACAAAGGGTCTATCAGCTATCGCAATGCCTCAAATTGGAAGAGGCTTCCCTTGTACATGAACCGACCCGAGGCATTTCGAAAGGACAAGATCAACTCAGAAACAATTTCTGATGCCTTTTCGCAATTGATATTGCAAGAACCAGATTACTTGAACACAGGAATACCAGCTCCTAGGTAAGCAAACATTCATTATCTATTTATTTATTTATTTATTTAACACCGGTGAAATATACATCTACTTATACATTTAAAGTATTTCTTGATTCTTACAAATTTCGATATTGATGCGAACAAAACAACACTTTTGTGAAAATTTAGGATATAATAGAATAATTAAGTTTCAAAGATAGAGAGTTAATTTTATACATCTATAACAGGTTGATCGATCATCTGCTAAATGGTCATTCGAACCCAACTACTCAACGAATGGTTGAAGATTTTCTGAAAAAAGAAGTTTCCCAAGGAAAATTTGAAAAATTATTAAATGGCAATTATTTGTTGGTGGGTTCCTCAAACATGAGTGGTGGATCCGTTACCATAAATGCTTCTATATCCAATCGAGTGGAGATTCTGAACATTACTTCAGACTCAACTTTTTATGATGATAATTCATCGTATAGTCCTTATGGCGACAATACACTATTGCATACAAATACAAATATTACAAATAATACTCTGAAAAAAGAAGATTGTTTCGAAACTATTACGGGAAAAGACTGGATCCCGAATGGAGAAATCCATGAATCAAATAATAATATAACAGATATAAACAGTACAAAAAGTTTTGAAAATCACAGCAGTCAAGATATTACAAATTGTACAGTAAAAAAAAGCAACAAGGCAGAAAGGAAACAAAAATTAGAAATACGCCATGACTTAGATTATGATTCGCAAGACATGTTTGATGTATCTTCGGACAACAAAATCGAGCCATACAACGAAATCAAAGAAGTTCTCAAAGAAAAATTCCTCGCCTCGTTGAATCTGATTCGTACATCATTGATACCATCTGACACAAATAATACAGGTTCAGTCAGAGCACCAAGACGCCTGACTGTAAGTATTTTGGTAATAAATATTTTACCAGTTAATTTAAAATGATTATAAGTGTAACTAAACAAAACTTTTTTTCATTTCAGAGAATCAGAAAAGTCAAAAAAGTATTCGATCCATCAGATAATTTTATAGTGAAAAAGAAAAGAAGCAAACAGCCCAAAACAATGCCAACAAAGCCAAAAACGATGCCAACGAAGCCAAATGCTACAATTTCCCAAGAAAACAGAGAAACTGTTACCCATTCTCAAAACAAAGAAACTTCAAAAGATAAATATTTTCATTGCTGCAGTAGTGATAAACCAGATTCATTAGTGAAATCACCATCACTTGAAAAAGTCTCAAAGAGTTGCGATTCAATGGATGCGTCTGAGGTAACCAACCGTTTGAAGGCAGAAATAAAAGAAACTGCAAACAGCCCAAAAATATCAGAGGTGATCCATAACAAAATAACAAAAAAATGCGAAAACAAAAAAAAAATAGATTCTAACATACCAGATGTTAGAAAATGGACTGTTGAGCAAGTTTTTCTCTTTTTCTCACGTTATTTTCCTCGACATTCTCAGGCATTCAAAGAACATGTAAGTAACAATATATATATTTTTTTCAAAAATTAAATTGATCAAATTGAAGCTTATTAATTTTTTTTTTTATAGGAAATCGATGGAGCTTCTTTGCTCCTTTTAACCAAGAAAGCTATAATCGAAAAATTTGGTGGCTTACACGGAAAATTGGGACCAGCATTAAAAATTTATAAACAGGTAGTCATCCTAAAAGCAAGATATGACGATACCGCCCTTTACTGGCTTTAAATCAAATTAATAATGTATATTATTGTACATTTGATCTTCCATTGTTTCGTCGATTTGTAAGGATGAAAGTATTTAATAATATTATACAACAATTGTATTTTTTATATTATATTGAGAATCAACAATTGTTTCTTAATGATTAAAAATTTTACACTTTGTAACATGCAATGACTTTTTACTATCCAACCCCCATCGAGAAACTAAATCTTTATTCGGTTGAAGCGACACTCACTAAAATTTAAACTTTTTAAAAGTCGATATCCTTATATGTATTTTTTCTTTTAAAATCAAAATTGAAATATCAAAAAGTTTAAGAATTATATCTGTATCTGTAGTTTCAATTTCACCTTTGTAAATATACTGCAACAATTCAATTACAATATTGTGAGAAGTGTCCATAATTTCAACAGAATTGTTTTTATTTTCCAACATATCATGAGTGAACATGGCTCTAAACACTGGACTGGCATCAGCAAGTATAGCTTTGTGTATTGGGATATACTTTCCATCAGAAGTTTTTAGTTTAAAGTCACTGAATTCTTCATTGAGAAATAAGAAGTCAACGTCAAGAAAAAGAGGAGATCAATGCCAAATATGCATAATGGGGTGGGAGGTTGAAACAATCTGATGATCACATGAGTAAACTTCAACAAGATCTGAAAGAGATGGACAAACCTCTTGCAAGGTATGCAGATGATGAAAATTTAGAAAAAGAATTAAAAAGTTGTGACAGAGACGATGATCCTATGTTGGCCCACATTAAAAGGAAAAAGAAATTAATCAACAGCAAAACAAGAAGAATTAAAAAAGAAGCTTACAAGTGGAGTATTGCAGACATGTAAATTACCACTAAATAATAAGTAGTGTACATAATGTACATACAATTATTAAAATTATCTTTTTTAAAGAATCATAATCATTATTATTTGTTGTTATTCAATGAGTCAGTTTTGTCATTCCCAAAAAATAAATATAAAAATATTTGATTTTGCATGAATTAATAATGTAGTTCATTGATGTTACGTTAATTAAATTTCATATTGTTATTTTTTAAGGCGTTTTGAAATTTACTGTAAATCAAAAACAGGGCTACAGCGCCTCTCTTTTTGGAGCAACCACTGGTTCAACTTATGCTAGACATTGCAAAAAAATCTTGCATAGTGGGCACTAATAATATATCTGAGTTTTACAATAATTACTTACCGACTTAATTCCTTCATTTTTGAAAGTGTTAGTTTGTTTTATGTTTTAATAAAATTTTAAATCTCTTGTGAAAATTAATTAAAATAATTGAATAAATTATATTTAGTGGCTATAAATTATAATTTAAGTTAGTCTCAGTCCTGTGGTAATACATTAGATATTTAACCCAACTACCTTAAATAATTTTAATTAATAAATACTTCATCAGAAGACAATATTCTATTTAAAATTGAGTAGATATGTTGAAAATACTGAACATGGATTTTAAATGCTTTTGTGTGAACGTTTTATTTTATTATATTAGTCATATTATCAATCTTTATAATAATTATCACCCTTTTTACAATAATAGTCATAAACATACTTTTACACATTGATTACCACAGTAGCATGTACTGAACTGCTTACAGTTTGTGTTATTAATACTTAACATAAGTGTGTTGATCATTGTTTTTTAATATATTTTACGAATAACAGGGTAGCACAATTTTTTTATTATTTTACAAGAACTTGTACACTAATCTTGGTATACACTACAAAAACAATGCATGTTATTGAGCAAATTGTTGACTACATGGTTTGTATGATGATTCTTTATGTACAGTTTTCAGTTATTTATCCCACAAAACATACAATTTTTGGCTCATTGTAATTGAACAATCTTTGTGGTTATTATTTTACTTAAATGATAACAAAATTGGTATGCTCATGGCACTATTGTGCAGTTTAGTTAATTTTTTTTACAAATGTTTGGTCATTGGAAAAGCAATTTATTTTATGTAATGATTAGAAAATGTCTCATTCCAGAATCTTTCTGAATCAAGCAAATTTTCAAAGCAAAATACAATCATGCAAATAGAACATACTATACATGAATGTAGAATGCAGATTTGGTAATTTTCTGGTCATCTACTAAAAAATAAATATTCAACTCTTTACTACACTATAATTCTGGTTTTCAACTAAGTATTTTGAAGTAGTCTAAATGCAATCCAAATTTTGACTAAAAACACTGTAGCTATAGCAAAGCTTCAGATTATTTTTATTTACATTATCATATTCGAATAAAGGGTAAATTCATAATTTTCCTCACAGATTTTCCTGTGCTACAAACTGTAATCATAAGAATTATTAATATATATTTATAATCGTCTCAACATCAAAACGACTTATTCTCTAAAAGTTATATGACTTGACTGATGGCAAATGCAGGATGAGTTGTTAGGTACTAGATAGTAAAAAAATCAAAAACATAATAAATTAGAAAATATTTTAGAAATTAGAAAATAAAAGCAGTCAATACTTTACTCGAAACAACTTTCAACTTTAAAATTATTATTTCCATTTTAGTAATTCAAAATACTCAAAATGTTAGTAATTCAAAATACTCAAAATGTTAGTAATTCAAAATAAGTTAATGTAAGTCATGTCAAACATTTTGTACAAGCTTTTAAAGAATATTGATCAAAGATTAAGATGATGACATGAATAACCATTTGTAAGTGAACATACTATTGTAGTGACTTTTCAATATTTAATTTATTTATTATTCAACACATAAAGCAATAAGGCATTGTTCAGATATGTCAGCTGAAATTTTAGGCATTTTTGAATACTTTGTGCATTCTAATTGCCGCATATAAAAATATTTGTTTTGGAAGCCTCAAAATGTTGGCTTCAAAAAAAATTTTAGCTTTATTCAATGAAAATTTAATAACCATCTTTCAAAAAAAGTAATACATTATTGAGCCTATAATAAGTTCTGACCCAAGCGCATTTTAGGCGCATTTTACATATGAAAATCGAGGTAATGTTCAACTTACAAATAAATAATTTTTCATGATAAAAGATAATATAAATTTTGACAATTGAAAATTTAAAGAAGACTCAATTTATTTGATTTTCCAGAATTTGTGCTCCTTTCTGAAAATTGATAATTGATTGCTTTTCGATACTTCAAATAGCTATTTAAAGATTTTCGATATTATTGATTTTGCTAAATTAATGGCTTGTTTTAACTCTTAGTGCAAATTTGTGAAGTGTAAATTTTTATTGTACATCCTTCATTGTGCGTACAAATATAATAATATACCTACTAATAATTATATCAAATAATATATTTCTTGAAATTCAATCAACTATGTATACATAACGTTTGATAAAATACCATTGCATTTTCAACAATCTGTAACTGAATAAAATTTTTTTCATTAACAAGTTTTTAAAAAGTGCAACCTTACAATATTTCAATGGCTTCTATTAATGACATTTAATTATAATATACACACTTTTTTTCATAGCTTTAATTTTCAAGTTTTATCAAGATGAAGAATAAAACTGTAATGACCAAATCAAAAGAAAAAATTAGCTTGATTCATGAACAGGTACATTTAGATTTCACGATTACATAATTATCATAAGGTGAACAACATTTGTCTCCGTGTACTAGATTTTTTGGCACAACAACAATTAATGCAACTGAGTTTCCACTGCTTGCTTCTTTACAATGATTTTCAATAGAAAATTTTTAAAGCATTCTTTGTAAAAAATTAACTAAATCTCTTTGTATGAAGGCTTGTATAGTCAGGAATGATTGCGTGCAAACTCTCAAGAATTTTTCGATTTTCAACTGTCGATCGTGTGCGCTTATACGAATAAATCGAATAATGATTGATGAAACATTGCCCGCATCTTGAATAAAAATTCACGATGAAACTTTTCAAACAACAGAGTACTTTTTCCTGGTTTATTTACATAAAATTTACGTAATCGTAACATTAGCTGCCAGAATATTGGAACACGTATAAGCTTCATTGAAAATTTCAAACTGCAGTAAAATTCTCTTTGTTTAATCAAAGACCGCGCAATTATTTCAAGATGTATACCTCTAGTGCAATTGTGATTTGCTTTTGTTGCTTCGCACTCAACTCAATTCAACGGCAACGACGACTGCGTCGAACGTCGACGCACAATTATTAAAATTTCATTTTTTCGTATTAAATATCTAATATATGCGTGCATTTCACCGGCGAACGAGCAGATAAAGGATTCGAGAACGTTCCTATTGTTACATATATTAAGAACATCGCAGCTCACTCGAACGCGCGACAATCAGAGGCGTTAAAAATTCAGCCAGTCAGGATCGTTGCTGATTTTCATCGATGCGAGAATTAATAGTTATTATTACGAGATACAGCGCAGTGCAGTTTACATTGAATGCGTCGACTTTATAATTTTTTTTTGTTATGTACATATAATGCGCCTTAAGATTATCAGTACAACTCGACTTCTGCTCGGTAAACCCTAGAAAGAAGAACAAAAAAAGAAGTTGATAATCATGACACAATGGTCTCGCTGCGACAACAATGTCCGAGCCGTTCGCTCCACCAACTTTACACTTTGCTTGCTTTGTTGTTGTTTTTTTCATTTTTTTTTTTTATTGTTGTCAGTAATAATACATAAAAACGCGTGCGCAACTCTCGCAAGCGTCATTTAAACGCTTACTTATACATGATATATAATATAACGGTGTAACGTAAGCACACGTACATACAATGACAAAGTCGTTGCTGATTACTTTGGCACAGAAAATTATCTTTCTCTACGGCTACAAATCTTCCTTCGTGGCGTAATATATACTAATAATAACATATGTATACGATGCGGCAGCCTATCTTGGTTCTTCCGCACGAATTTTTCGAGGAACAAATATTTTACAATGCACTCTCGCGCGTTCGCGCAGTCGCGCGAGTCTTCCGTTCAAGGACGATCGTGAAACGATTTTTCGCCGCTGAGAAAGTCAAAACTCGACTACGCCTTCGTGTCGCGCAATTAGTTCGTTTTGTTTTTTCGTTGCAGCACGACGTCCACTGTATCGTGCATTTAAGAGCAATAGATAAAGATCCCACCACCGAGAATCATCACACCGGCCAAGCGACACACTGATTATAAACTTCTGCGGTTTCCACTGAGCACGATATTAACGTAATGTTTTAGTCAGGCACCGCGAAGACGATGTTGGGCCCGAAGCACAAAGGGGGCCTATACTTGGAGCTCGGAGTCGACGCCGACGAAAATTGGATTGGTCGAACCTCGTGACGGCCCGATCACCTGAAACGTGATTACGTTATTAATTAATTATATTCTTTTGATATATCTGATTCGTAATATTTGATTTTTCAAAATAAAAAGAAAACCATTTCAGTACTTTGCGCCGTTTTAAATACACTGCCACACGTCTCCTCTAGAAACAGTAAAAGTTTATCCCGCGAAAATGTCCAGAGTCGCATAAAAATTCAGACGGCGGCGGACGAGCAGTAGTACTAGTAGTAGTATAGTACCCTTGAAGCTCGTAAAAAGACGTGTATAATCCGGAAGTCTTTCGCGCGAGAATACTCAAACGAAGAAAATATACGTCGACGTCTAACGATAGCTCGGGCTTATACGGCACGTAAAAAGTAACCGTAAACGCTTCGATGCGAGTCATTTGAATAAACAGTTAACTCTCGCAATCTGACGAAAAAAATAAAGAGAGAAAAAAGCGAAGGAAATAAGAGAAATTAATGCGGCTGCAGTGCTTGCAGCTTGTACTCGTACGAGAATCGATTTTTTTTTTAACTGTCGCGCAAAAAAAAAAAAAAAAAAAGAAAAANCACGGGCTCTCTCGGGCTCTCTTGGTCGTGTGTACAGCATTTGCTCGGGTCGCTCGTCCATCGTGTAGTTACTACCGGGTCGTGCGCGCCGGTGACGACGAGGACGACCCTACCCGCCGCTACGGCGGCTCCGCCTCGGCGGTGGGGGATTCCTGCTACGCCTCCAGAAATATCAGGGCCGTCGGCTTGGGCTCGAGGTTGCTCTTCTTCGCCTCGACGACTAGGAACTCGATCTCGCCGCGGTCGCGACGCGCGAACGACTCGGCTATCAGCCGGGCCACCTCCTGATGATGCAGACCTGTCGGTAAAAGAAGATGTAAGAAAAACAATGAGTACGAGTTTCGTCTCGAGGTTATTTATCGAATGTCGTGGTGTATCGGTAATGGGTATATAGAGGAGCAGAAGTTTACCTTCGACCTTGTGACCGTCGACCTCCAGAATGAGTTGGCCAACCTCCAGACCGCCGGCGTCGTAAGCCGCTCCGTTATCCTGCGCGCACACAAAAGGGAACGAAAGTTTCTATGAATAATTGCCTCGTTTTAACGTACCCACAAATCGTTTGTGTATAATTCAAAACCATCGTATATGCGTGTGTGTAGTGGTATAATGGCAGCCAAGCGCAATTAAATGGAAATTCGAAAATCATTATCAAACCGTATATGAAGTGAGTGTCGCGATCGTTGCGATTGTTTGTGAAATATTGAGCAACGCCGTATATCTCCACTTCTTTTTTTTTGTTTCTACTTTTTTTCTCGTTATTTCGGATAGTAAAAAAAAAATAACAGAAAATGAAAATGACAGCTCCTATAATTGTTTTTCGTTGCTACATTATGCCGATTCGGTAAAACGATCGCAATTTTCGGTGCATACTGCGCGGAAAAGTCAACGAGGCTCTCGCAGACACACACACAACACTCGAGCAAAAATAATAACATTTTTACGATGTCGGAGCATGAATTTTACCGTTGGATTATATACGCGCTACACAATATGCGCCGCGCTCGCTCGCTCGCTCGCTTCGCTGAATGAATTATGAGGAGAAACGCATTTTTTGTTTTTCGTTTCTGTGGCGCGCGCGTGTGCAACTCTTACTTATCGATATGATGTATGCGCGAGCGAGTGCGTGCGTCCGCTCGATTTGAATAATGCCTTATCGTCAACGAAAAACTCACTTCATTTTTCAGACCAACGAAAGTATAAAAGAGCAGAAAACGATCGTCGCGTGTCTCGTGAGCGTCGCGCGTGACGAGAGTCATTAAAAAAAAAACAAATATCATCAAGAAGGATATTTAGAGCGGACCCAGTGAACTTAGCTGCGTCCGAGCGACACGATCTAGACCGTGCGTAAAGAGTCGCGCGCACGCCCTTCGTTCATTTTGTTTTTTTTTTTTTAAGTCGACTTGCACTGTTATACCGATCGTTCGAAAATACAATATCGGAGCTACGGACGACGAGAAAGAGACAAGCGACCGAAGTAGGTGGCTTCGACGCGCGTCGACCGATAAGATCGCCGCAAGACGGATACAGGCCAGCTCTTTCTCTCTCTCTCTCTCTCTCTCTCTGCCTCTCGGGCGCGATCTTCTGCGGACGCGCGTCTCGCGACTGACTGACCCACCCATCCCGTCGCAGCCCGCGATGACCGACTTTTTTTGTTTGTATTTTCCTCGACGCGCGTGATATGTCTCGTTGCACATACCGATCGAACGAACCGATCGATCGGCGATACAAGTGCCATCCCGTCGTAGTCACATCGTGTTCACGAATGAAATGTTCCGACTTTAATTGAATTATCGAGAGGTCTTCGAGTATTTCCTTTTTTTTTCTACTTCAATCGATTTCACGTCAATGGAATAACGATCGTAAATTATACAGCGGCACTTGGCACGAGGAGACGACGACGACGACTACTACGACGACGTCGGAGAAAATGGAATATAAAAAATGGAAATCTCACGTGAATGTTGATGATCCTCGGGAGCGGGTGCTTGGTGTTGGCGCCGCCCTCGATGGCGATGCCGAGGGTCGGCTTGCTCTTGCGCACGATTATCCGCAGATTGCCCTGATGGTCGGGCAGCACGACGGCCGCGTCCTCCTCGCGTCTCAGAGGCGGCCCACCGCCGAGCTCGCCGTCGCCGCGCAATCTCTGGGCGCTGTGGTGGCGGCGCTGCATCGAGCCGTGGGCCCCGTGGCCGTCCATGATCCGGTTGCCCGACTCGTCCAACAGCTGGGCCTCCTGCATGTCGTAGCTGCGCGACAGCTTGTGGCCGATCTCCTGCGATGGACAGATTAAAGGCGGACAGCGAGAGACCGCGCAAAGAACGGCGTTAATGATTTGTTTCCACTGAGATGCTTCGGTCGTGTGGTTGTTTTTTTTTTTTTTTTTTTTTTTTTTTTTTATCATTATTATTTATTTGTGCATCAGCCTATTGAATGGTACCAATCTATATCAATCGCGCTGCTGCTAATTCGTACTTTGAGATCCTCTATCACTTCCGAAGTATGTCGAATGATATTTGTAATAATTGAAATTTTTTGAGTTGATCAAGCTTTCGGAAATGATAGGGACTGATTACAAAATATAAGCACATTCTCTTTGCTCGTTAGAAATAAATTACTGCTTAAGATAAAGATTGAGAATTTGTATGTAATGCAACTATTATTTTTGCTTGTATAATTAGACCTAAGATATAGTGAAAAAACTCTAAAACGTGTTTTATGAAAAAAAAGTAATTCAAGAAAATACGTAAAATGCGATAGCGCCACAACCTTTGAGTGTAAAATTAGTTATTTTCTATTACAATGCATGTATAATATAAATCTATTTCTCTATAATTAATTTAGTATATATAAAATGTGTCCATAAATATTGAGATAATTAAGTATTGAGAATCGCATGCTAGTTGAATATATATAATATATATAAAGGCTGATAGTGATGGCAGGGTGTTTATATAATTTTTGGTTGGTGCTCCGGAAAGTAGTGGTGGTCGTGATGGGGCTGTATAATATCTTTGATTATAATATTCTTTACGATATCGTGAAAAATTTGTAATAAAAAACGACTAAACGTATGTGATTGAACGTTGTATGGAGTTGTAATTTGCATGAGTCGAGTGGTTTATAGTGATTGCAATCATTCTCAAAAATGAACGTTTACTCTTAATTAAAAATAAAAAGTAATTAATAATTACGTATAAAATGATATTAAAGAAAAGACGATTAAATTAATATTTCTTTTGTCTACTGGTAAAATAGAAAATTATTTCATTGAATGTCAACTCAGATGACGTAATTCGTTTTTTCAAAATATTATACACACATTATTTTTCAAAATAATAAAAATACTCTACAGATTACAAGCAGTATTACGTACAATTTCATGTAAGTGTTTGGTTTCAATATCTAGTAGAAGCATTGTTGTAAATTGTAAGTACTTGTTTTTTTATCTTTTAAGTAAACATGCTTGTTTTTTGGTAAGGTTTATTATTCATATATTACTATTCTATCGTGCTCGAAGAGTAAGAATAATAAAAATATATGCATAAAAATAGGATAATATAAGGTTACTTAAATAAAAACTAAAAGTATAACTATGATACGATAAAAAAATTGCACACACATTACACACTATTATTAATGTTTAAGAGAAATTGAGAGATACGTACTATGATCTAAATTAATTCTATACAATAATGGGCTATTTAATGAGTACTTATTTTGTAAATGATAATAGCTGTTTTGCATCTCTACAGAAATTTCTCTTAACTATTTTTTTTATAATTTTGTCGGGATGTGTAAAAGTTATTAGTCTAATTTGGATTTAGAAAATGAATCATAATTATAATTAATTTAATGTTTCAGTTATAACTGAGAATCGTAAAAAATTCGTGTCTTTCAATATTTAGATTTACTACGCTAAGATATGTATGAAATTTTTAAAATGTAGCGAAATCATATTTTATTTTTTACTTCCAGCAGAATTACGAAGTAGAAATCTGCCTAAAATACCATTCCAGCAGAGGGACTTTTTAAGCGGGGCATGAAAATGTTTCCATAATTATTCGTAATATTTTCTTCATGCAATTTTCTCACAGCGCACTAAATATTTCAAATAATTTGTATTTTACTAATTTTATACATATCCCAACATATTTGTACGTATTGCAAAAGGTTTCGAATGTATACATTTAGAAAAGAAAATAGGCCACAAATAACTCGAGTCAATTGGAAATTCGGTGCGCAATCAACTCGTATGAGAGATATTTCGTGCCACTCATATAGTTTTCGGAGAAAAAAATCACAGATGCGAGGGAAAAATTTCGCGTTGAAAAAAAAAAACCAAGGGACAAAGAAAGAGAAAACAACGAAAGAGAGAGTGCGAGTATATGTATACACACCAACGACACATGATATTCTCAAAAGCAAGAGTGTTTACACGGATTTATAGCTGCAGATAATGCACAAGAGAGGGAAAAAACAGGCAGAGAGCGTGTGTGCTGCGCGCGTGTGTCTCGTGTGTCGTGAATCAAGAGGGAACGAAAAAAGAGAGAGTGAATGTGTGTGTGTGTGTAAAAAAAGAAGAAGAAGAAGAATAAGAAGAAGATTAAGGATTAAAAGAAAGAAAGAAAAAAATGAAAGAGAAAGAGAGGGACTTACGAGGGGTCTGCCCCAGTACCAGGACTTGACGCGTTGCGTTATACCACCTAGCAAGTGATTCTTCCAACCACCAAAACCTCCACCACTCTCGGAGCTCCTCTCGTCACGTTCTTCGTCCAGGACGTCCTCGATATCGCGTTCGCGGAGCATCACCCCGTTACCGAGCATCAGGTCGGTCTCGCTAAGCTCGCAAATGCCGTCGATCTCGCCCTGGATTGCGTGTGTGCGAGGAGAGCGGAACGAGAAGAAGAGTTTTCGGTTAATCGACGATCGTTGAGAGAGACATAATATGCACAAGTGAGGTAGTAGAGAGAGAAGGGGGGGGAGGGGCTAAAGAGGAGATTCATCAGTTTGACAATTCGAGAGCTTTATAAACGAGCGTACCGCGGACACGAGTCAAATATAATAATACAATACACTGAGTGACTCAGCCAGGGGTGGTTCAGGCTGAACGATCGATTCTTTGCACCGCGGAGTAAACAAATTTTTTTTTTATCCCTGGTAGAAAATAAAGCATTTGAAATGGTCAGATGTCCAAAAACTAGTCAGTTTGACTGGGCAGTTTATACCCATTTATTAACCGATAAACTGGTCAGAAACTGGCTAATGAACATAACGACGAACGCAAAATCGAATATATAGGTTAATTAGTAAACATAGTGCACGAAATTAGTGCATTTTGTTTCGAATCATACTTGGGTTTAGTAGGCAAATACATTCGATCTCCAACACATATTGTTGCTCAATATTGTATAAGAATCGATGAAAAAAAAAACATATCTCTCACCTCTATATCGACAGATAAAAAAGTATACCAAATTTTAAAAGAAAATAATGATTCAATTCTCAAGATGACCTACAAAAATTTTATTTTTACTAATTCCCATCCTAACAATACTGTATTGTTGAAGACTAATAGCATTGCAGTCATTGATAGAATTTTCAAAAAAGAAAATATTATCTACATTAAAGTAAGAAAATACAGTAAAAAAATTGATGTTTTTGAAAAACCGATAAATTCATCACTGATAAACATGTGGGAGATCAGTCAGTTGGCATCTAATGTTGAAATTTTACAACTTTCTTGCGTTGTAAAAAAACTTGTAAAATTTAACATGAATTTTACAGAAAATGATGAAATGAAAATTTTCGCTGTCTCCATGCTTCATTGAAACGATTCAGCATATATGTTCTTTCAAGAAGTGACGAGGTTGGCCGTTTGTACGAGACGCTGCGTGTTTTAAATTTCTGAGAGTTTGTTATAATTTTATGTGTATTATTACGCGGGAAAGATACTTCTGTAAATTTACAATAAACTAACCAATGTTCACTGCTTATATTTAGTTGAGAATAAATTTTATGTAAACAAACTTTATTACTTTTTAACTTTAATTACGTAAAAGTAAGTGAGTGTAGTGCTATTATTTTATTCATTAAATAAAATAAAGTGTATACCATGTTATTATTGTCTGCATATATAAAAAACCTAATTCTTTTTACATTTATTTAAGATGGATAACTGTGAATATACTTCAAAAGATTTTCATTTTGCCCTAGTGGAGTTTGTCCACAAGGGCAGAAGAAAAAAATTGAAGCAATAGATGTGGTGCCAACAGAGTGGATAAAGTAAAGAAGCGCTACTCAGCACAATTTTTACCACCTCCTTATAATGAGGATAGATGTGCACTCCTCCAAACTTTTGTTAAACAACAAATGGACCCACCAAAAGATTGGCCAAGCTATACAGTCAAACTCAAAGGTAGAGCCAGTAAGTAACGTCTACTTTTATAAATAAATTGTTTACTATAATCTTTTGTAATATAATCTTCTGATTTATGTAGACACTTATGAAGAGGCTGTTATAAAGTTGAAAGACCTTCAAACAGAGGCTTCAGCATTCACAGTTGACTCTGACGACGATGACAATGACTCCAGGAAGCAGCTTGAAAACCAAATAAAAAGAGCAAAGCTTCTCTCAGCACAAGCTACTGTCATCGAATAACTTAAGGCTAATGATAATCTTCAAAACGATGGTATGTCTAAGAATCTTATTTATTTTGACCATAATGTGAAACATGGCTCTATTGTTTTTAGACATTATGGATACATCACAAGAAGAAACTGCTTATCCTAAAAAAAGTGATGACAGCTCTTTGACAATTGATGTGTTCGCCCCCTCTTGTTCTAAAATGATAACAGAATCGACAGAAAAAGGAAATGATTATATGCCAATGGATTCTATTGTACTTTCAACTGGAGGTGCTGAGGATTCAAATGCTATCATTCCAGCAAGCATTGAGTTTGAAAGTGTCTTCTGTGAGTAAAACAATCCTATAAAGTTTAATTTATAAATATAAATCTCAATTTAAAATTTAATTAATAAATATAAATCTCAATAAATTTCAAATTGGACTTTTTAAATAAATTTATTTATAATTCATTATATTTATTATAGATAAAGAGATCATGTCAAAGCTCAATGAGATCCAAGGCGAGATAAAAGTTCTGAACAACAAACAAGATGAAATAATAAGGTTTATGGCAGGAAAAGAAGTTGTCAGTACATTGTAAGGAAAAATTAACTTAAAAAAAAAGTATAATGTGGATATTCCCTTTTCATTATGTTCAAATTTTACTGCATTCGATGAGAAATTATTAAACAACGACTTGATGAGAAAAGATGTAGTAAGTTTAATCATAAATTCTCCAAACTCTTTCAACAATAACAATCTATAACAAAATGTTTTTTATTGTAGAGCGAATATTCAACAACTTTAGTCGATAAAGATCTGAGTATTTCAAAATCATTTGTAAATATGTTGAAAGATTTTTTCTTCAAAACAGTTGCCATGAATTTTACTACTAATAGAGCTTCAAAAAAAATCCCAGACAAAATTAAATTCAAAAGTACTAATTTATGTAAAGTTATGGAAGGTAATAGAAATACTGAGTTCACTTTATGTATGTATTTATTCTTAATTATTTAATTATCACCATTAAAAAATGTTGTATTTTAATAGGAGTTATAATTAGTAAAAGAGCTGAATGTGTTTTGGAGACTACTGACAAACTATTAACTTCACAACTAAGTGATGTAATAGGAAATATCAACAACTGGCCAGAGGATTCAGATAGAAAATAAAAAATAGAAAAAAAAGATGTAATAATAATTCATCACTCATCACATATTAACTATTATAGCATATTAATAACGTTTTTTATCATTGAAAAGCTTTTGACTTGATTATGTTAATAAATTATCATGTCACTACAATTTATAGCTCACTCCCTACGTAGAGCACTATTTTTCACACAATTCTCACTATTATTACAAAATCATAAATTGAATATGTTGTCAACATTTAACCCCCTTTAACGACAAGTAGGGAGTTTCAGATTTTCAAATTAGAAGTTATATTATAATTGAAACTCCTTACTTTTTGTAAGAGTGGTTAATTTGATATTTGTTTACAATAGCATATAACCGAGAGAGGTTAAGTAACATCTCGGAGAGCTGTCAACTGACTACTGCGCGCGGCAGGCTACGGCATTTTTCGACTAGTTTCAATGCCGAAAACCCCTATCCTAATTGAGCAGTTTCTGACCAGTTTAAGTGCTAATATCATGTCGTTTTAAACATGGTTTATGGCGAAGTTGGTCATTAACTGGCCAATAAACTGACCAGTCCGATTTAATTTAAGCATAATCTGACCAGTAAATGCTGATGATTTCTACCAGGTTTCATTTCATAAACAAGAATCGTCCTTTTCAATTTCATTATTAAATATTCAGATCATCCAGTATACGATCACATGCGAAGTTATTTCTGAAACTTAATTTCCAGACTGATACGAGCGAAGCTGCTCAATAAAATATGCGCCATTCGCTTCGCTTCGCGAGGCTTCTTTTGTGCCCGTGCGGGAAAATTTTTGCTGGATCGATTCCAAGCTCAAGCTTAAAGTTTACATAGCAGAGAAAGGAAAAAAGACTCTTTGAACTGCACGATAATTGAATCTAAGAGAAAAAAATTCCCCCAATTTCGTATCTTAGCGAATTTTTGTCCGTGCACAAACTATTTTTTTTTTTTTATCTCGAGTACTTCTAGCGCATTAAAAATATAGAGATAAAAGGTATATCGAAATGACCTATCTAAAACTAAAATTAAATTAAATGAAAATCTGACCAAATGAATTAGATTTGTTTTAAATTTATTTATTTATTTTAATCAGACTCAACACATTGCACCATATAATCCTTGTATTCCATGTTATTTTTTGTACTCGGCGCAGCCAAGAACATGTTCCACAAATCTTTGTTCGTCAAGTTCTTCTTGAGCACAACTTCACAGACTTCGAGTGGCAGTTGGTGGTGTATCAACTCCCAGAAAAATTCCAGTGTCCAGGTGCGAAAAAATTTTCTCGATACTTTCTCGCCCAGATGTTCGATGAAAGCTCGTCTTTCTCTGTCGGATAAGCGCCAAAATTCGTCCGTGTTCGCGAACTCGTAGTAAACCATGGGCGTGAATAATTTTTCCGCCTCTTCGGCTCGCATCCGAAACAAATCGTAGAACGACAGGTCCGGAGTTACCGATATATCTTTTGCGTTATCCAAACTTCGGCCTTCGGCGAAACTTTTCTTGAGAAATGACGAGCTCTCGTACAATCCGCACTTGACGAAAAATTTCATGATGGTTAGAGCATCGAGTAGGTTCATCACGTATCCTCTGTTCTCTAGACACTCGACGACGGCCAGAGCGCCGGATCCTAACTTGAATTGAAGAAGTTTATCGTGACTCCAATATGCTACCAACCTATTGGAGAAGTAGTTCTCTGTAGGGAAAACGAAGCTCTGCAGATTGGCTCCATGCTGTAAAAGACACTCGACTACGTGCGGCAAATGATTCGATACAGCTAGCTGTAGTGGTGTTCGACCGGACTCGTCCCGAGCGTCGATCAGCAACTTTTGACCTCTGGTCTTGCAGTACTTGATAAATTCCTCCATCAAGCCACCGCTGCGTTGATTCTGGCTAATTATGTGCAAAGGCGACGAGCCATCCCCTTTGGGCAAGTTCGCATCGGCGCCGCCTCTCAGCAGCTCCAGGACAATCTTCGTTCTACAGCCGTCCGCCAAAGCGTAATGCAGCGGCGTCAAGCTCATATTATCCCTGGCATCAACCCGAACCGTCCGCTGTAATTCCGCGTTGACCCTGA